CTGGCCTCTCTGCCTAAAAAGTCGGCATGTAAAAGTATTAGAAGGCATACTCGGGCAACATCGACGTCATCCATCCGAGTAAAACCATCTTTCTTATTCAATAAGCTCGTCAGGTCTTCCACGTGTAGATTCGGCCTCTCCAGCTCAGGAAAAACCCGGGATAACCATGATGGGCGGGTAATGTGTCTAGTGTACCGACCTACATCATCGTGTCCGAAGCGTAGACCGGTGATTATGCAAAACTCCTCCCGCCCAAAACACGTATACGTCGGTGGAAAATCAAACCATATCTCTTCATCACGACGTTGTATAGTATCTGGTAGATCCCTAGTCATGGTTTGAAGAAACAGGTGTGTCAACATCGCATCTCCACCGGGATGTTGTACTTTCAGCCATGGCCCGAAGCAAGTATCCTCAAACATTTTTCTTTGTGCAGGTGAAAGCTTCGACGCAATTGTTTTGGCCAGGCTGACTTTATTTCTTAAGGTCAATTGAGCCGAATAAAAGTTCTACAAAAACAATAAACATACTAAGTTAGATATACCAAAAACTACACTGTGAAGATATACCAAAAATAATAATAAACATAAAGAGTAGTAGTTTATTCTTCAAACTTAAATTTGCAACACTGTGAATTTCTTATTTGTCTTTATTTTTTGGTTGAAGTAATGCAATTCATTCAAGTTTCAATTTGCAGAAGAAGAATAGTTTCTTAAAATGAAAATCGCAACACGAAAATGACAATCGCAACGCGAATTTGACTATCGTAACGAGAGAATAAAATCGCGTTGCGATTTTGTCGTTGCAATTTTCATTTCGCGTTGCGTTTCTCGGTTGATTTAATAAGCAATCTAAGTGAAATGGTTAATCTATTATTGAAATTACCAGTAAACTTATCATCAATTTCAATATGAAAAACCTAATAATAATGCAAAAATTTCAAAAAGAAAATAATTAAAAAAACTAACCCTCGATGGTTGATTTGGTTGATTTTCCATTTCTGATTGTGAGGGTGGCTCTGAGAGATGGAGATAGACGGATTTCGCCGGAGATGGGGACGAATTTCGTCGGAGATGGGTGAGAGAGTGAGAGATGGAGATGGGACTGAGTTGTGATTTTAGGTTTTAGGTTATGAGTTGCGATTACGGGATATACTGTGAACGGTTCAGTGTTCCAATATATTAATATTCGTGTTTGGAATTTGAAAATAAAATACGCTTTGCAATACTAATGGCGCTTTGAAAATCGCATTGCGATTATGTATTATCTCGTTGCGAAAGTCAGTATCTAGTTGCGAAAGTAAGTATCGCGTTGCGAAAGTCAGTATCGTATTGCGATTTTGTATTATCGCGTTGCGATAGTCAGTATCGCATTGCAATTTTCCAAATTCGCATTGCGATTTACTTATTTGCATTGCGATTTACTTATTCGCATTGCGAATTGGGAAAATCGCAACGCGAAATTGGAAAATCGCATTGCGATAGTCATAATCGCGTTGCGAATCTGGAAACTGATTTGCGATAATGGAGATCGCGTTGCGAATTAGCGATCGCATTGCGATTTTGTTGGTCATTTTGGCAAATCCGGAAAAAGTTGGTTAAAATCGTATATTATATGGGATTTTTGGTTACTGAGGTTATTTTCTCATAAAATAAATATAGCTTGAATAATTATTCGTCTCCTCAAGATTCGACAAATGATGGTTCTGAAGTTGATCAATTCAACTCTATAGTGCAATCAATAATAAGAAATGAAGATTCGTGAAGTTACTCTAACTGCATACTTGGTAAGTATCGCATGTTCTGGGATCGATACAATTCGATAAAACTTGGAAGCCCGATAAGATACTTGAAATCTAAAATATTGTAAATCACTCCTTACCTTCATTAAACTGAATTACCAAAATTTCTCGAGAATCAAATGACTAAAATGCACTTATGAGTCTGATTAATGGAATCACCCTAAGAAATTCTAAATCTTAACAAATTCTTATGTAATAGTTCCTGAATAACCTTTGGATATATATGAATATTATATGATCCTAATGTATCACTTTTCTAATGACTGATTAGTCTGTTAGCTATCGAACTCTTTAAAAAGGATCTCATTTTCAAAGTTCGACCAGTTTACAGAAGTTTCATGTTTTACCCGCTTGATAATTACCAAGTACCTCCGGAAAAATAATTGGATAGTGTGTATGTGCTATATGATTGTTTTCATCTGTCCTAAAATGTGATTTACAGAAGTTATTGATTTACTAAGTCTTTTAACTATTCAATAATATGAATTACTGATTTATTGATTTACTATTTATGAACTAAGGCTACGTGATACATGCTCTCTGATGACATATTTTCACTGGAAAATATAATTATGCTTGATTTATAGATCATGGAATTTACTGTTTACTGTATGAATCGATTATTGGGATATTGTGTGGGTAGGATTCTAGAGTATGGAGGTTCAGTTCTAATCACACTGGTAATTCCTTACGAATCTAAGGTGGCCTTGGGTAGGCTCTAAGGCTCCAAGGCATTTCCTTGGGTAGGCTCTAAGGCCCCAAGACACTCCCTTAGATTGGCTCCTACGACTAATGGACCTAGGGTAAGTCCTTATGGATGCAGTTTTGGGGAACTGTATATCGATATTCGGTTGGAGGGTATTAATGTGGTCTTAAAATTATGTTTCAAATTGTTACCTTTTTGAAAGATTTGTACACTTTCTCTAGTTTTGTTGGAACACACTAGACTCCTCATCTCAATCTCCTGAATCTGTTTCTCTGAATATTTCCTTCAGATTTTGATTTCTTGACTGTTACATGAAGAAATAATTAATGAAATTTGAGTTCGTTGCTAGAACCTGATGATGTTTATATCGTTAAGAAAATTTATGCTTTACCTTATACTTTGATGATGAAATTTGAACTTTTAAAAGTTTAAGGACTAATTTGAAATGAGGGTCATAGTTTAGGGGCATATCATACAATTAACTCTAAAGAAAATGAGTCAAAGTAAACCAAAATATGTCTAGTTTTTTTTTTATGTGTTGGGCTTCCGTTTAAGAGTAAATTTGAATTGGATCATGGAATGGCCGGTTTGAGTATTTAATGAATACTATTAGAATTGGGCTAGGGTACTTGCCCCCAAAATAAAGGTGCCACCAATTGGATTTGGAGCCTACATAATTCATTTTTAAATAAATTTTGTTATTATAATATTTTACGGTTTGAGTATTTAATGAATACTAGTAGAATTGGGCTAGGGTACTTGCCCCCAAAATAAAGGTGCCACCAATTGGATTTGGAGCCTACATAATTTATTTTTAAATAAATTTTGTTATTATAATATTTTACTATATTTAAATTTATAAAAAAAACTAAATATAAATTTTAAAACAATCTAAAGTATTTTTTTACGCACTGTTTTTATCTGTGACAACAAATACGTGTTACAGACACAATTAATTAAACTCAAAATTTTTAAAGAAAATAATATTTTTTATCGTTAAAATCATTAATGAATTCTATAAACCGATTGTCTATTGCATTCATTAGGTAGTTTTGTATTATCAATCTTCCCAAAGCTCATTTTATTACTTACCATTGCAGGTTAAAGAGTTTGATCATGTGCTTCTATCGACATCAGTAAAGGAGTTCCACCAACGTTGCTTGCGGAGTACGATGTATGAAATTAGGGGGCATGTAGGTTGTATTATGTTTTTATATTCGAGTTTGAAACTTGTTATGTTACTGGATATTGTTGAATTCTATTTTCAATAAATAAATGATTTTCTGAATTTGTATTTATCTATAAATTATTTTACAGTTTTAAATGAATTAATTTTTTTTTAAATTTTCCAGGATTTTCAGTCTGGGTCGCTTCGATGGCCCTAATGTGACACCCTAGATCAGATCACCCGTATCGGTCTGAGGGTATTACAATACTCAATAAATTCGATGAAGTTTCACTCAACTCATGTTAATTATAAAAACTTCATTGCTCGACTCGATTTGTCATAATTTTTAGTACTTTATTTTTAAAATATATGTAAAATATAATAATACTATATATAACTTAATATAAACATAAAATAATAAATTTAACAAAAAATCAACATAATGTCTAAAATAAATCTAATGTTTAAACTCTAAAATAACAATCTATAAATACATCAAGCTAACATATTACATAATATTATTAAAAAAATTAACAATACATAAGCTATTTAAAAAAAAAGGCAATCAACATCTCTCCACCTTATTCTTCGTTCCTTGCAAGCATCAAACTATAAAATTGAGAGAATATATTTTTTGCTTGATCAACATAATTATTATGTCTATAAAAAGAGAGTTATAATACCTTATAATATCTATAAAAAATTAAAGACCAATTTTAAATGTAAGTCATAAATTAGAGATATATGGTACAAATATTTTTTCTTTAAATAATTTAAAATTAATTGAAATATAATATTTTTTTAAATGTTTAAAATTTTTAGATGACAATTCGACAAAAGAAATATAATTTAGAGGACAAACAAACTTTAAATTAATTTTAATAATAAAGTTAATGAATATTTCATATTTTAACATTATATAATTTTATACGTTATCAATAAATTTGATTATCGAACATCATGAAGAATGGATATAACTTTTTTTTTTTTTATAATGACCCATGGAGAATGAATTTTAAAAAAAATTCATGATGCAATGTCATCAACGACTGAGATTCGTCTGTGAATCCCAAACGAAATCCCAGACCAGCAGATTAGAAAAGCTCAATGTGAAAATATAACAGCAAAAATAAATCTGAAACAAACACGCGAGAGTTTTACGTTGAAATCTTCATGGCAGAACATGCCCGACTCTGTCTCCCAATTTCAGAGATCTTCTTGCTCACTCTTTCGTTTAATTTTATTTTATTTTTCATGATAGCCCGATTACATTATCGTGAACGTTTTCTGGGTTTTCCCTGCCAAAAAATTTGGATTCAGAAAAAATGAGCATCGGTAATCTAACAGAGCTGGAGAGTAACCTCACTCTCAGCGATCGCTTGAAGCTCTTCAAATCTTCGCAGTTCAATCCCGATGCTTATCTCCAATCCAAATGCAACAACATGACGGAGAAGGTAAATTAATTTCAATTCTCAAATAATCATATACATAGCCAAATACGCGTCAGTCATAATGATTTATGCGATCAAATGGGATTCCGAATTTCCTTTTTATGTTATAACGAGATGAGGATGATTCAAGATTACTAGTAATGGTAGAGATATTCAATTTTTTAATCACAGGAGATAAAGCATGCGTGCATGAACTTGTTAGAATTAAGGAAGGCGTCTGCAGAGGAAATGCGTAAAAGTGTGTACGCTAATTATACTGCCTTTATACGGTAAGTCTTTATTATACTCACTCAAGGATCTATACCGATATATTTGTCTAAAATGCTTATTGTGTTCTGGATTTCTTGGTTGTCAACTTGTTTCATTGTTACCAGTTAATGTTTTGAATGATTGGAAGAGGATCAACATAACATTGATCGGTGTTTGCGATAATTAGATGCCGGCATTGAGTAAATAAAGTATCAATTCTTGCTTTCGTATATACCAACTTTAAGATTCTAAAATCTTGATTTTTTTTGCATTTGAAGTACATCCAAGGAGATTACAGTTCTTGAGGGGGAGCTCCTTTCGATGAGGAATCTTCTTTCTACTCAGGCAGCTTTAGTTCACGGTTTAGCCGAAGGTGTCTTCCTCGATTCCTTGACAGCCGGCGCTGACGATTCAGAAGAGGATAACATATTTGCTGTTAAAAATACGAAACTTAATAAAACCGAGAAGTGGTTTGTTGAATATGAGGAAAACCTTGAAGTTCTATTGGCTGAAAAGAGAGTGGATGAAGCTATGGCCGCTTTGGAGGAAGGGGAAAAAGTAGCCAAAGAACAAGCAGCAAAAGAACCTAATACTAAACAGAACTTGAGTCCAGATGCACTTCAAAGATTGAAGACTGCCCTCACTTTGCTGAGACAAAAACTAGTTGATCAACTCGCAGAGACAACTTGCCAACCTTTCACGAAAGGTGCCGAGCTCCGTTTGGCCGTTTTGTCCATTAAAAATCTCGGGGACGGTCCACGTGCCCATACGTTGCTGCTCAATTCTCATCAGCAGAGGCTGCAGCGTGGTATGCAAAGTCTTCGTCCTTCGAACAATTCTCATGGAGGATCAACTACTTCGGCTCTTTCACAGCTTGTATTTTCAACCATTGCGCAAGCATCTAGTGATTCCTTAGCGGTTTTCGGCGAGGAGCCTGCATATTCATCTGAACTAGTAACATGGGCTGTCAAGCAAACTGACACATTCGCGCTTCTCTTAAAGAGACATGCTCTAGCTTCATCTGCAGCTGCTGGGGGTCTAAGAGTGGCCACTGAATGTGTTCAGATATGCCTTGGCCATTGCGCTTTGTTAGAAGCTCGTGGATTAGCTCTTTCCCCTATCTTAATGAGGCATTTTAAGCCCTGTGTCGACCTGGCATTCAGTGCCACCTTAAAAAGAATCGAACAGAGTACTGCTGCACTTGCTGCTGCAGATGATTGGGTGCTTTCTTATGCACCGGGTGATGCACGTCCGTTATCTTCTACTTTATCTCTTAGTAGTGCAACTATGCCACAGCCAAAGCTTTCAAGCAGCGCTCACAAATTGAATTCAATGGTTAAGGTAATTATTTCTGCTTCCATAGTGATTAATGTTATGTGATCAAACATAAGTAAAATGTACTTTTAATTCCTTGTTTTGCAAGTTTTAGAATCTTTGGCGTTCCTAATCTGGCATTTTGTCTGGTTTTAGGCATTTATGGAGGATGTTGGCCCCCTTGAGATTCTTCAATTGGATGGTCCAGCTTTAGAAGGAGTTTTACAAATATTCAATTCCTATGTTAATCTACTGATAAGTGCATTGCCTGGTTCGATGGAAAACGAAGAAACTTTAGATGGTTCTGGGAATAGAATTCTCAAGATGGCAGAGAGTGAATCCCAACAGTTGGCTTTACTTGCCAATGCATCATTGCTAGCGGATGAACTGCTTCCCCGGGCTGCATTGAAACTTTTGCCATTGAGCCAGGCTAGCAGAGTGGATGCCACCCCTAGAAGCACTTCAGATAGGCAAGGCCGTGTTCCGGAACAAAGGGAGTGGAAGCGGAAATTAAACCGCTCGGTTGAACGTTTGCGAGATAGCTTTTGTAGACAACACGCCCTTGATCTTATCTTCACAGTCGACGGGGACATGCGTCTCAATGCAGAGATATACATAAGTATGGATAGCCATACTGAGGAACCTGAATGGTTTCCATCACCTATTTTCCAGGTAATATCTCGATTTCCTTAGTCATGACGTATGACATGCAACCTGAAAAGAAGAAGATATGACATCTTTTGAATTCGAGCCTGATGAACTGAATTTGAACAGTGACCTATGGCAAGTATATCTTTTATCACTTACTATGAATATGATAAACCTTTTCTCGTCAACAACTTTATCTTGTTTCAGGAACTTTTTGAAAAACTAACAAGGATGGCAAGTATAGCAGCTGATATGTTTGTGGGGAGGGAAAGGTTTGCTACACTTCTATTAATGAGACAAACAGAGACTGTAATCCTTTGGCTTTCCGATGACCAAACCTTTTGGGAAGAGATCGAGCAGGGGCCGACACCTTTGGGTCCCCTCGGTCTTCAACAGGTATATACTCGATCAAATACAAATGTATAGGGTTAGATGATTTAACATCTTATAACTTTCGTTTTTGTTTCGATGCAGCTTTATCTGGATATGGAATTTGTAATGATTTTTGCTTCCGAAGGCCGGTATCTGTCTCGAAATCTGCAACAAGTTATCAAAACCATTATCGAGAGAGCTATCGAGGCACTGGCTGCAACCGGAATTGATCCATACAGGTACATTCCATATGACCAATATCATAATGGGAGCATTTTTTGTTTCGATACACTAGACTGGCCCTTCTGATCCATATGAGAATTACTTAGAATCTGACGAAGCGCTTTTGTGTTCTGGCAGCGTGTTGCCGGAGGATGACTGGTTCGCCGAAGTTGCTCAAATAGCAATCAAGATGTTAAGTGGTAAAGACAACTTTACTACTCTGGAGGGAGACGCAACAAGCCCTACGGCATCTGCGTCGGCAGCTTCGTTCTGAAGTAACTAAGGTCTCTGGCCGTACCTTTGCTCAAAGCATGTCACCGTCACAAAGCAACCCTGCTTGCCATCCAATAAAATGCAGGTTTTTAGATCATTTGTGTTAACTTTCAACATGTCTTATGTAGGAATGCAGAACTCTTCATAGATTGTTAACAGGCCTAATGAGCTTTTATTTCTTTTATTTTTATTTACCAGAATGTTTTAATTTTCTGAAAATAAAGGATAAAATTTAATTTTCTGAAAATGGAAGTAGAAAGTAAATACAAAAATTATTTTCAAAAGTAAAATGAAGCTTAAATCTCCTATAAAAAAGCATGTAATACATTTTCCAGTTTCAGTGATCGATACTCCCAAATGGTTAAAGATCCATGAATTTCAACTCAATGTATGGCCTAGAGAAAACAAAGGCTTAAAAGCCTATTACAAGAACTGCAAACCGTAGGTACAAAGGAGTCTCGGGCCTCTTGTTTCCACAAGGCACGAAACAAATTCCGTCATAAATTATTATTTTTAAAAAATTAGAGTCATAATATTAAAACTAGCCTCTCAATTTGTACTAAAATAATCACTTTGATCTCTTTATTTTTCTAAAGCATTTTGTCCTTCAATGTATCATTTTATGATAAAAATACCCTTAATATTTGACTAAATAGTCATTTTGACTCCTATTATTTTTTTAGAGCATTTTAATCAACAACGTTTCATTTTAGGGTAATAAAGTCCCTATTTTGAAACTTTAACTGTTTGTCAACTAATAGTTTCCATCCATAGAAGGACCTTTTTGCCCCAATATGAAATGTGCAGGGCCAAAATACTCCAAAAAGAATATAGATCAAAATGACCATTTTGATAAACATTAGGAGCTAATTTTGGTATTATGTATAAATTATATATCTAACGGTATGTTTTGATTTTGTTCTAGTTATCTAATGTTAAAGAATAAATATAAGTATTTTGATAATTTTGTATTAAAATAATTTTTCAAATGTTAAAAGTACTATTTAAAAAAAATACATTTGAAATAGAAAATTTATTTAAAAATATTTTTCATCATAGTTCATTGTTTATATATATTAACTCCAAAAACAATTTTTAATCTAATAAAAAATAAGGTTGAATGGAAGAATAGCATCTTGATAGAACAGTAGATATTGGGAGTGGGCATATTACCAATTAGAGTAATTGAGCACGTGAGATAACAAACTACACTGAATGTTAAATCGGTAACTAAAATTGTAGTTGTGGAAAGGGAGTGGGCATTGGCATACTTTATGTATTTTTCACATGCCGATATTCACATGCCTTTACCAACACTGCTCCTTCGCTGGTTTGCTATATCTTTGGCAAGTGATGTGATCTATCCATATGAAAAAATCCGAATTCAACCGGTGAGAGAACGATTATTGATCGATATTTTAAAGAAAGAGAAAGTGATTGTCACGACGAATGAAAAAAAGTATTGACCTTTTTTTAGTTTTGATTGAAGGTATTTATAGTAGTCTTTAGTGTTTGTCAGTCCTAAAATTATTATGGTAGTTTGAAAGTCAATAGATACGTAGATTTGATAATCAGACTTTAGATTTTGTTCTGATACATCACATGAGCTCGTCTATCAAAAGTTTTGTCGATGCGCTATAATCAATCAAATATTTATTTTTAAGAGTGCAGGTTAACCGAAGACTCCAAAAGACGAGAAAGTTTCAAAAAAAAAAACATATCCAAGGGGATATAACAAATTTGATCGGATTAATTATAATTTAAGTAATGTTGCAATCGGGGAGCGTGCTGAAATAAATTTGGCCCACACTTCCCATATGATGCGAAGGAAGTGAATGATCTTTTGTAGTTAAACATGGAAATGGCAAGGTTTGGCAAAAGCCGTTATCTAAACTTGTAAGATATATATCGCCTTCCTATGTTGTTTGACAAATGAAACACATTATTAAGATCTTAGCTGTAATTGTGGAGATTCAATTATTCCACCACGTGCTTTTGTTCATTACCTTTGTTGAAAATCTATACTTGAAAAACAAACGTGTTAATTCACGTTTGGATTTGCAAAACGTGATCATATTTGTAACAAAACGTGATTGGATTTGTATGCTAACATAATATTAAAAAATTACTTTGTGTTTAAGAATTCACCCAACTTAATTTTAAATTGAATTGAGCCCAGAATAATAATGGGATTAAATGAAATAGCCTGGAGTCCAACAAATTTAGTTAGAAGATAAACGGGTGTTAAAAATGAAGTTGGTGGAAGAGAAACAAGTTATAATGTGATTTAATACAGCTATCAAGGGGACCTCCACACTCCACATCAATTCATCTTCTCTTGCTGTGTTTGTTGGATATTTATCTTGTGGTACAGCTCTTGCTTTTGGGCACGGGATATTACTAATTTTGGGATTAGATGTGCCATGCCCATTTGCTACATCCACATCAATTACCATACACTAATCTGTTAAATAGAGGATGTAATTTGATTGGTTTGTCAAGTTATTTATCGTTGTTTTTTTATATTGTTTTAAGTCGTGACTTCTAAATCTATTAGGAGTATTCTCCTTCATTGCCTCCCTTTCTTACCTAGAGTCCCTCTTTCCCCTCTCATGTAGGTAAAATTCGGATTTGATTTAGAGTTTGTGGAAAAAAAGGCTTAATGTAAAAATAAGTGTTCAAATTATATTTAAAGTTAACTTTAAGTGTCTAAAGATTTTTTCATTAAAAATAGATGCCTAACGTTTCCGATGTTACACTTTTAGGTGTCTGTCGTTAAAATTCAGATGTTAAGTGACACATGTCAGGCTTATAAAAATTTAAAAAGTTTATTTTTAAAAAATAAAATTTTATATGCCTGACACATGTCACTTAATGATCGAATTTAATAGTATTAACAATTCAAACACCTAAAAGTGTAACATTGAAAACGTTAAACACTTATTTTTAACGAAAAATTCTTTGGGCAACTAAAGTTAATTTTAAATATAATTTGAACACTTGTTTTTATATTAAGCCAAAAATAATTTTTAAATTTTAAAAATATTACTATTTATTATTTAAAATATTAAAATAAAATTTTAGTTACAATTACAATATTAAATAAGACATTATCTATTAATTTAATATGTTATGCACTAACAAACAGTTGGTCTAGTGAGATGAGACTCTAGATTCTCTAAGCTAGGTAAAGGGTTTAAACATTAGCGTTTGTGAATGAAGCAAATTGGGTTGAGAGGGTTGTCTTGCCTCTGCAATACCCGATCTGGATTAGTCGAGTAATATATCAGATACCATTGATTAATATATATAACAGATACCAGTGGTTAATATATATATATATGTGTTATGCAATACTCTTAATGGAGTAATACTTTAGGACGATCAATGGTGTAAGGTCCATTTTTAACAAAAATTAAAGTTTAATGCCATTAATATTCAATTGATTTAGTGAATAAGACACTAGTTTTCTTAGGTAAGGTTAGAGTTTCAAATCCTAACGTTGTTAATTGAGTAAACTAAGTTGGGAGAATCACTCTCACAATGGACGTCTGTAATACCCGATTTGAATTAATTGATTAATAGATTGAGTATTTGACGCCAGATAGAATAGTGATTATCCTGTAAGCGCTCCAACAGATGATTCACAAGAGAAAATTCGCCCAAAAAAATCCAGAGAAAAAGTCTCTAGGGTTTAATAAAATATTATCAAATCAAACAATGCCAAAATCAGTCCACAAGCCGGACTGTTATAGCCAAAAATCGTCTTTATTCGAATTTTGCCAAAAAATAGAAAAATCCCGAAAATCACTCTAAATTGAAATTCGAAATAAAATAAGCAATCTCCAAAAAATCCGGCCTAAATCGGATTTAAATTGACTTCCTAATTGACAATCAAAATATTACCATAAATAGTAAAAAATATCTAATTCTAGTGATTCGGAGGGGAAAACGGCAGAATTTGAGGTTGAAAAAAAGGTCACATGAAGCGTAGCTCAAATGTGGAGAGCGTGCGTGTCGAAAAGAGCTTTTCGGATTGGGGTCTTATGCGCGATTCTGACACATGTAGTCAAAGTTATGGCCAAAAGACTGAAACATACTCAAAACGACCCCAATGAGGAACATGTCACAATCAATTCCCGCCTTTGCGCTGATCTGCCAATTCATGGTATCTCAGCGCCATCAAGGTACAATCTGACAGTTCAACAACATTTGTCTCGGATCCCCCTGCATCAGTATTGGTGATTAATAGAAAAAGTATAATATCCATTTTATAATTTTTGTAGGATTAATTGTGTAGTTCCCCCAATAAATAAATAAATAAACATAATCAGTAGGTTCTTAAACACAGCAATGAACAGGAAAATGAATACTAGATTAGATGGTTAATTCGTTAATCTTAATTTTGCAAAATTCTTACTTGTCTCACCAATCATCACATACAAATATCCCATGAATATGATCCACTTTCCCACAAATTGACACTTAAATCCAATCATTTTTGCTTTAAAACTTTTAATCATTAATCATATCACCTTAATTTACTACTAATCAAGTAACACTAGTATATTTATACCCTGGATTTTGTACTCCAATGGTGGATAAGTGAAACGAGAGAAGAAGTGAGAAAGATCAGGGTCTTTTCTCCAAACCATTAGAAAAAACCCAGTAAACCTCACTGGAAGTGACTTAGTTCGCAACTCCCGAGGAACTCTTTCGAAGCATCAAAGTCGAAAACAAGTAAACTCAGTTGCTATTAAAAAAAAAACCCCATGATCTGTTGCTAATAATTTGAAACAAAGTTTGCCTTTTTGCTCCATTTTGGGTTTTCTTTTTATGTGAAGCTCGAGAGTGGTTTTTTCTTCTGGTGATGGATCCTCCGGCTATGATGAGTGATGGAGGGTACAATCTAGAGGAGATCTGGCAGTATCCCGTTACTGAATCCGGGATAAGGAAGGGTCAATTTGGGAATGTGTCGGGTCATTTCGTCGATCCTAATCGAGAGGTATCGGGTAATGATCCGGTGAGCTTGGAGCAGCGGCAGCAGAGAGGGGTTGGTTTGAGGAGGAGGCGTGATGGGGAAGACGAGTCGGCCAAGATTGTCTCCACCAGTAATGGCAATGGCATGGTATTCATTTTCATTTCAGTTTGTTTAATCAATTGATTTTCTTTTTTTGTGATCCTCAATTCTACTAATTCGCATAGGCAAATGCTCTGTATTTGGTAATGTTGGTTTCATAATTTGGGCAGGATATTGGTGATTGGAAGAAACTTAAAGCATCTGAATGTAGAGATGAGAATGATGATTCTAAAGTTGAAGCAGAACCCAGTTCAGGCAAGCTAGTGGGACAGAAAGCTCAACAAGCAGAGCCACCTAAACAAGATTTCATCCATGTCCGAGCTAGAAGAGGTCAAGCTACTGATAGTCACAGCTTAGCAGAAAGGGTAATTTGCTTCTTGATAGTCCTGAAATCATTTTGAAATTCTTGTAGTGTATAAAAACCGAAATTTCGATGCAAAAGACAATCCTTTGATTTTATTTTTCACTGATCTGGAATCGTTTGATTGGCAGGCTAGGAGAGAAAAGATTAGTGAAAGAATGAAAATTCTTCAGGATCTGGTTCCGGGATGCAATAAGGTATATACTGATGAAATTTCTGAACTGTTTCGTGCTACAAAATCTAATGTTTTGTGCATAAGCAAAACTAGTGCCTGGTTTGCTGTTACCTGATTATGGTCACATGTTCTATGACTTTCTATTGCTTGTTTCTGCTCCCCTGATTATGGCATGTTTAAGCCACTTGCTAAGTAGTTTGTTGGATTCAGGTTATTGGCAAGGCTCTTGTCCTTGATGAGATAATTAATTACATCCAATCGCTACAGCGTCAGGTTGAGGTGTGTATCCTTGTGCTTTTCTATCACTATTTATTTTACATTTTCCCTCTGGTGATCTCGAACTTACATTCTGAAACATTATTACTGGTGTTGTAGTTCTTGTCAATGAAGCTTGAAGCAGTTAATTCAAGAATGAACCCTGCCATTGAAGTATTTCCTCTTAAAGATGTTAGTATTTATTCTGTCATTGACTATGTAGTTTTTATCACTTCCTTTTCTAGTTGTTAGCCAAGACAAATGCTTTCTACGGCGAAGTCTCATACATCTGAAGTTAGAGGCTCATAAGTCATGTCAAACTTGAATCATATTTGGCTTAGAAATCATGTCTGGTTGAGGGATAAGCCTTCTTGATAGTTGGTAGCCCAAAATAAGAAGAGCACATCTATACCGTGTTAAACGATTAGTTTCTGTAAAAGCTTGTTCGTTGATCTGGTTTTCTATAATAAAAGTGGTCAGATTAGTCTTGGATTTAGATTTTCTGAAGATAACATGCTGTAATGCTATTTTTGTTAATCAAATCCGTTCTTCGTGTTTGTGCTTTTAGCGTCTAGTTCTCGGTAGTTTAATATGTTGTCTTAACTCACACCTTACCTGAAATTCTTGTTGCTATTTTCATTTGAACGAAACAATTGTAGAAATTATTTCCCTTTTCCCCAGACTTATTATGTTATAACAATTGATTCGGAATTTCAGTATGGGCAACAAATGTTTGATTCTACTGCAATGGCATTTGGTTCACAAGCAACAAGGGAATACAGTAGCGGTGCATCACCAGAGTGGTTGCATATCCGCGGTGGTTTCGAAAGAACAACATAATCTCGAAAATTCCTCGTCAATAAGCAATAAGAGCATTAGTTTCTAATGATTCGTCCATCAGTCATCACGCCTGAATCAGTTTATTGCATCCTGGTAAACCAAAGAGACAGTATATTTTCTTTCTCACAACATGAGGCTCCGACTGGACATTGTCGTCTAAAAGAATGCTAAAGTTAGTATCCGAACATCTTCGTTGTGTTTTGGAGAATGTGTTCTTTTACTCCATATATGAAATGTCAGGCTTTACGGCCTTCTCTGTACTAATTACCCGAACAGAATCTGCTAGAATCATCATTGTTGTCGTACAAGAAAGTTGCTTGTTCAGAATTATTGATGCTTACATATCGAGTCAACTTTGTGTTTGTTAACAAATAAAATTGTAACAAATAAGTAAAGCCAGTTTACTGCTATATGATCTATTTTTCCCAAGAAAATTTTCTGGCTTCGGAGCCGATTTTTGCCTATGGTGCACCATGGTCCAAGATTAAATGCATCTGCATATCTGATTACAGCGCCTATTTCACCTGCTCGGCAGGTGTTTTTTTTCCTTGATTTGAACTTGAAGCTCTTCTTTTAGTACATGCTGCAGTCGTTTTGGCGAACAACTCCATTTTCTTCAAGAGAGCTGAAAAACTTGGCTAATCTCTCAGACACAGTCTGCAGGCTCTCATCCAATGATTCTTCATTGCCATCGTAATCATCGTCGTTCTCATAAACTAAATAAATCCCAGCCTTCTTCAGCTCTATGCCCTTTACAAAGGGCGGGTTTTGTGTCGTCACTTTAATCTTAAAGCCATCCTTCAAGAATGAAACCAAGGGCCGATGAGCCTGATATCGACACAAGTGAACATGATCTTGGTTTGTTTTCGGTACCCCAATCAAGTCCAAGGTAGTGGTGAATATTTTCCTGTCACCATCAAAGATCTGTGCTTGAACGTCCACCACCGCAGGTATTTGATATCTCAGTTCATCTGGTACATGATGGTTAACGGAAACAACTACCATTAGTATCACCCCGGTAAGATCAAGGCTTTTGTGGCTCGAAAAAGTAACCGTATCTTGTGAAAACCAATCAGGAATTCTACTTCCGGGCATGCTTAGATTTTTCAGATTCTTGAGATATACCTTGGAGAGTCTTTCCTTTGTTGCTGAAGCACATGTGCTGCAATTACTCATGTACAATGTCGTCAAGGACTTCAAGGACTCGAGGCCTGGAATATCAACCAACTTCTCACAGTTTGTGAGGTTTAAATCTTTTAAGCACTCTAAATTGGAGAGATCAGAAAAACGCTCCAATGAAATACAGTTTGCAAGATTCAGACTCTCTAAACTTGAAGGAAGTGGAGGGAGGGACTCGAGCTTTTCGCAGTTGGGCAGCTGGAGATCTTTGAGAAGCGAGAGTCCGCTTAGGCTCGATGGAAGCTTATGAAAATCGTTGTTTCCTAGAAACAGAACCTCTAAATTCGACAACTTCTCGAAATCATCTGGGATTTCACCGCATATTCTCCAGGCCCAAGCATCGAGTTCTTGTAGCGATGAAAGATTCGTGAAAGATGACGGCAACACTACTGATGGCGAATTTGGTTGCACTTGCATACTGCGTTTCTCTCCTATTTTCAGAACCTGCAAGCTTGTGAGCATGCCAAAGCTTTCCGGTAATTCCTTCACATCGGTTTCTTTCATGTATAAATGATGCAAGGACTTCAAATTTCCCATTGAGGATGGAAGTTTATGAAGCTTTCTACATTTGTTCAACCTTAACGTAATAAGATTTTCCAACATCCCAAAAGACTCCGGCAACTCGGTAATACCGGTGTTGTATATGTTCATATAAGTAAGAGCAAACAAGCTCCCGGTTGACTCTGGCAGAGATTCAAGTGAAATGCAACTCCTTATCCCAATCTTCTCAAGTAATGTCAAATCGCCGATATGACTTGGGAGACACGTAATTGATGTGCCTTCGATATCAAGTTCCACAGCAGATGACAGCCCTCGAAATGAATCTGGCAACTTGCTAATCTCCTTGCCCTCTACAAATAAGCTTTTCAGATATGATAAAGTACCTATAGAATTCGGTAACTCAGTAATTGCACTGCCCTTTATGAACAACTCTTTCAATAATTTGAGATTGCCGACGGTATCGGGAATCGCGTTGAGAGATTCACAAGATATTAAACTCAGTTGTTCCAAGTTCTCCAAAGATCCAACAGAGTCGGGCAACCTCTCTATTGCAGAGTGATTAAGACGAAGTTCCTTGAGAGAAACGAGCATTCCTAGGCATGTTGGCAACCGTTTGATACGAATGCAACCGTCTAGGATCAGTTTTTCGAGCTTTTCGAGGCGGTAAATAGATTCAGGCAGCTTGTCTATGCCGGTGTGATCGACATAAAGTTCTTTGAGTGCTTTCATGCTGCCAATGCCCTCTGGTAACTCCTCCAATCCGGAGCAATAGCTGAGGACAAGGGTTTGAAGATTTTTCATCCCCGATACATCACTTGGAAATTCAACAAGTTTTAAACAGCGTGTCATATCCAAGTGATGTAATGATTTCAAACTACCAACTGATTTGTGGATGTTTACCAGTGCCACACAATTCTTGAGGACAATCTTTTCCAGCTTTCTATGTCCCGATAAATCGGGAAGAGATGCCAAATGTGCGCAATCACGTAGATTCAGGATCTTCAAGTTTTCAGCAACCTGAAACAAACGAATATTCCATGACAAAAGGAAAAAAAAACCAGTTCATAAAATACCACAAACTAGCTAGTTACAGGCTGCGGAAACCGGCCTAAGTACGTTACCTCGTTAACACTCGAGCTCCACAGCTGTTTGATTTTGCTACCCGATAGATCAATGACAGCTAGCTTTTGGGGACAAAAATCAGAAGGAAGAGTGTCCAATGCACATCCTTGCCATTGAAGCCACTTGAGTTCACGAGGAAGGAATTTAAACTTCCCTTCCAAGTTCACATTATTGACTTGAAGCAGTCTCAGACTAACCATGGATTCGAAAGGCTCCGTACCAACAGTCACCTGTTTCCGGCCGTTATCAGCTTTCTTCATGTTCATCACAATACCCTGAATTCTTCTTGTTCCCTATTGTCAACAATGTCCACAAAATCAATGTTTCAAGCTCAATAAACCATGTCTAGTATCATACATGTGTTTGTATATAGTTATATACCTTGTAATTTTTCAAGACCGTGATGATTTCGTCACGATCCCACAGTCTGCTACGCATTCCAGGATCTAAGAAGCTCTCGTTTTGCACGATTTGTCGTCCCATATCCCTAAGCTGATCGTGCATCCAAATAGTATCGTCCTCGTGGAACTTAATCAGAGATTTTTCTTCAAGATCTTTTAAGCCTATTTCAGCTTTGAAATCACATCCTTTCAATACGTCAACTATGTCATCTCTCTTGGTTTCCAAACTGGTAAACAAGCAGGCTACATCTAGGAATATGCATTGATTTTCCGCATCTAGCGCATCGAAGCTTATCTTCAGCACATCTTGAACCTTGTGCGGACGAATATCTCTCAGCTTGCTCAAAGCATCTTCCCATTCGGTTACCTTCCTCTTGCCGAACAAAAACGAACCGAATACTTCCAATGCCAAAGGTAAGTTCCCTGTAAGGGATACGATTTCCTTGGACAATTTCAGAAACTCTTTTGTTGGTTGGTCTTTTCTGAGCGCATGATAGCTGAAAAGTTGTAGTGCCTGATCAAAATGAAGCTCCCTGACCTCGTAAATACCGTTCACGTAACGTTCATTTAAAACTCCTTTGTTTCTTGTTGTAACAATGACTCGAATATTTCCTTCGTTTCTCCATTTGACTCCTGCACCTACTGCATTCAGTTGGTTTTCATCATCGACATCGTCCAGGACAATTAGAATTCTTTTTCCATGAATATTCTTTCGGATTTTCGAGGCATTAACATCGACTTCGTTCGCAGAAAGATCAATATCCGCAGTGGAACCGAAGAGATCACCAACGAGTTTGTTTTGGAGGGACACTAAACCATCTTCTTGTTTCGAAAGTTCTCTAACATTCGAGATAAAACTGCGGTGCTCGAACTGTTCGAGCCCGAGTACTTTGTTAAAGACGGCCTTGGCAAGGGTCGTCTTGCCGATGCCCCCCATCCCATGAAGGCCTACAACTTTAATGCCATGGGACTTTACATCTAAGAGATTTATTAGCTCCGTTACACGCGCATCCAGTCCGACCGGGTAAGAGGCTACTTCCACCGGTGTATTGTTCACATGTTTCAGAACTTCTCTCAGCAGAACCCGAATCACTTCCCCTCCTTCACTGCAATGGAGGCTTGCCAAGTTAGAATTTGCATGTGTGACGCAATTATATCTTTGGAAACAAATGTTTTAGGGTAAGGTACACTAAAGGTCACTCAATTATATAAAAATACTTCTTAATCAGCAGCCCTTTATTGTTACAAAATATCATCAAACTTTCTAAATAATTATAAAATAATCCCTTGTAATGTTAAAATAGCAATAAACTTTGATAAATTCATTAATCATTTGATAATAATTCGATATTAAACATATTTTACAATAGTTTAGGATGTTTGATAATCATTTTTTAATGTTTGAAAGAATGATGACAATTAGAATCATCTTTACATAATTCAATGATATCAAATGCATTTTATTGTAATTTCTAATAACTCATCATCAACGTTCAAATGCATAAAATTAATTTCCATACAAGTACATGCATGCATCTTAAAAAAAGACATCTTGTAGTTCACACATTTTCCAAAACTCGGTGGCAGATCCAAACAATTTTCAGAATACATCAAGTGATGCAAATGGTTTTCTATAGATTACTGTAAAAAGCACCCTCGATGAATAAATAATTTGTCAAGCACAATTTTTTCCAACATATTATTTATGCAATTTTATTATTTTTAAAAATTAATTTAATAGGGATATATTTTTTCAATTTTAAGAACTTATTTGATCACCGTTTTTTAGATAAAGATTTTATCGAAATAATATTTCATTAAGATATTTAATTATCATCTATTCGAAATGATTTAAGTATTAATTTAATCGTTAAAACCAATTTTAAATTTGATTTTTTTAATTTAAAGGAATTTTGTGTGTCTGTTGGAACATGTAACTTCGTAAATCTGAATGAAAAACCCTACCGTCGACTACTTAAACAATTGCAGATCTAATTGCGTTAAGCATGGAGATTTGAGGAAAGCAAGTAAAGAAAGAGATAAATAACCTTTTGTTTTTGACAACGAAACCAGCAAGGGAGCCAACTTTGGCCATGGCTTCCCTCCACTCTTTCGCCTTGTCTTTTCCAAATCTCTTCTCGTGGCTAAAAAACGCCTCCTCAAAAGGCCCTATCTGTTTCCGTACATGCGAAGGATCAACTTCGTAGAATACCGGAAGAACCAGTCTACGGATCAGGCTCCGGCGCCGCAACTCGCAGATCCGGGCCAATTCTTCCAGGCACCAATGGGAGGAAGCGTAATCTTTGGACAAAATGACGATGAAAGCAGCCGAATCTTCGATGGCTTCGAGCAAGCCCGGTGCGATCTCGTCTCCACGGTTCAAGCCGACGTCATCTAGAAAGACGCGCACGCCTTGTCCGTCAAGCGAGCGATACAGGCTGGTCGTGATGCCGTCACGCGTGTCTTCGCCTCTGAAGCTGAGGAAGACGTCCCATTGGCGCCTAAAAGACAACGGAGTTGAGGTGGAATCTGCACCGTCGTACGCCATTTTTGTTTTGATTTCTTTGCTTTTGAATTCGCACCGACTGAATTTGTGGTTTTCAAACTTTATCCGCAGTAATTGGCCGAGTAAGAATACTTTGAAGCATCGCTTTCAGCCATACTGTAGTAGGAGAAAAACAGTATGTTCTACTTTTCGTACTCCATCTCACTGTATGTGACGGAAATTAGATTTATAAAATTATAAATAAATAGTGCTTAAATATTAAATATAAAATGTACTATGATTTTGTTAATGCACATATTTTTTTATTAAATTATAAACCGAGACAATATTTCCTAAATCTTTATATGGCTGGCACTCGGGTTATTAATTATGTTAAAAATGATATTATATTTTAATTATCGGTTATAATTTTTATAAGATATTTAATTTTTAATTAATATCAAATATTTTTACTTATTTTGGTCAAAAAAAATTTAAGGTAATAATTTTATTGCACTTAACTATGAAAATACATGAAAACATCAAAAATTGAAATGAGATGTTTTCTTTTTTTTAGTTCATGCTCATAGCTTTAGGCTTTTTTCAGTTCACCACTAAGATTAATAATGTTAAAGGAAGAATTGTTTTATTTACAATGTTCTATTGTTGAAAATAAGCATAGAAAAGAACTAGGTCTTTGCAAAGATTTAATGGGACTAAAGCATTATAGATATCTAAAGATATGATTGTCATTGATTATCGTGTTGTGTATGATATTACTCTTAGTAATATAATTATGAGTAAAGTTGACACTTATAATAATAATCTTAACAATGTCAAAGTTATATTTCATAACCAAATTTAGGTAAGGTTTGGATTCAATTGACAATTATTATTGAAGAATATCCTTTTAAAGGGTTTCGTCGAAGAGGTAAAGAATATATTCTCGAGGTATATAATTTATTCTTTGATGTTAAGAATTGATTTTTTATTGAGTTCGGGTGTTTCATCAGTTTAGAATTTTGTCTCGAACTCTTTGTACTTTCAGAAATCATGTTAAGGGTGTATATTGTTGATTGGAAGTAGGAAACATATATATTTTTTATATAAAAAAATCTAGTTTTGAAAGTAGGAAATATATCGATTTTTTATTGTTGATTGAAAGTAGGAAACATATATATGTCCTTGTATGATCTTTATGTGATCTTAATTTGTTAGTTTTGTTTTAATGATTATAGGAAATTATCCTAATTATGTGCTAAATTTACTATTATGATTCTAAATCTTTATTATAATTTAGGATATTTCTTATTTTGAATAAAAATAGCATTTCTATAAAAAAAATCTAGTTTTAATAGATCTCTATTAAATAAGGTTCATTTGTAACCAATATAACTATCCCTATAAATAAATATTATGATTAAGATTTGAAGTTGTCAATAATTTTTTTATTTTCCATGCCAGTGGAAATTCTCGTCCTCTGCGTTTTTATATATGTGGTTTTTCTGGAAAAAAATTCACGTAAAATTTTGGTATCTATTTTATTATATAATCATTATATATGTTGTTATTTTTTAACTATATATGCATATGGGTGAAATAAAATGTTGTGTTTTAATTTTTTCACATTGATTGATTCTTGAATATATAAAACACAAGTCTGATTTATAAACGTTATATTACACCTAATTAAAAACGATGAACCACCCCTCTAACTTTTAACACACTATTTAAAGACTCAAAATTTTTAACCATAAAATTATTTGATGTGAGAATTCGAGAACATATTCAGATAAACCCCAATCAGAGAATGGCGGCGCAACTCTGTCACGTGTAAAATTATTGCAATTAAAATTCTTCGAGTATCCATACTGGGTCGTAAATGAGACGAGTCATATCGTGAGCTACTCGATATCGATTCGGTCAAGGCTCGATAAATACTCGGATCGAATGGACTCGACTCGAGCTCAAGCTCGACTCGAATTCTTAACGAGCCAAAACGAGCTACTTGATACTCGACTCGAAAAGCTCGTGAGCAGCTTGAAAATATAATATATAAGATTATATTTTTTTTAAAAATTATTAAAAATATTAATATTTATGTATTGATTTTTTTAAAGAGAATACATTAAGATTTTCATGTATTTAAAGTTCAGATTCGAGTTTGAGTTTGAGTTTGAGACTTCAATCGAGTTAAGTTTAAGAATTTTTTTTCTTCATTTCGAGCTGCTCACGAGCTTCAGTTCAGGATTTCGAGTTCGAGTCGAGCTTAAAAATTTTAAGCTCGCGAGTTTTCGAGTCGAATCGAGCTCAATTTCAAAGTTTTCGAGCCGAGTCGAGCTCGAGTCAATACTCGAGCTCGACTCGGCTCGTTTACACCCCTATCTCTTATCCCAAAGTGGCTGAAATTCTCTGTATACAATCTATAAATTTCACGAGTAAGGCTAAAGTTACCTTCAAGGAGAAGCCATTACAGTGGGAAGCATAGGATTCTCCAAACACAACACTTTAATGTTCCAAAACTATGATTCAAATGGTATAGGTAAAGACCAAATGTGCCATATGTTAATCTTTTAGCCCTAATGGAATATGGACTGCCCCAACTTTGCTATTTTCTACCCTACTTAATGCTTGTTTCTTATTAAAAAGATGCTTCTGGTATTCCTATCTGGGTCTATTCTGGAATTCACGTCCATCAATAATTATACATATATTTTGTTTTTATATTCCTTTAAGATATGCATTAAAAGAGATTAAAAAAAACAGGAACAAAGACTATTAAATTAGCACTCGATGTTAAGAGTGGTTGAAATGGTCAGAGCATAAGGTTGTGGACCATGGCTTGGCTGCTGGCTTGGGTTGCAAATATTACGGTAGATGTCGACATAAGTTGGTAGTGGTTAAGATTATTAAAGTTTGGGAACTGTGATGTTCAACCCCAAACGTGCATCGGAATCTCTACTCCTTGGGCCGCAAATTCCCAGTCGAAGTTGGCAAAAAGGTATAGTATATATAACATACGGGTATATAAAAATGGGAGGGGGAGGAGGGGGGAACATTATCGTATACACTCCCTTACTAGCTTCGTCATTAGCTTAGTACATATTTATATAGTTGACGGTAACAAATAAGTTAATGATTACAAGGGGTTTATTCTTTCTGATTTGAGCAAAAGAGTTGCAATTGACGATGAATCAAACGTTTACCGGTATCAAGTTACTTTGTCTCCATAATGATGTAGAAAAGATGAATGAGGATGAGGTGGTTGAGTATGAGTTTCAATCTTTTTCTCTCGATTTTAATTGAGATGTTTTATAGTAACCCTTGGAGTTAGTTGCAGACGTAAGATCATTATGATTATTCGTAAGCTAATAGACTTTGTGGATATAAACTAGAAAAAGATTTGATTTTAATAAGTAATGTGAGTCTATCAAAGATCATGTCCAGGACCGTGGCTGACCCGGTGCAAATTGCGTGACGACGCAAGGCCCCCAAAAAATAGGGGCCCAAAAAAATATTTTTGTAGTAGCGTTTTTTCAATAAACACCACTATAGATGAATCTATTGCGGCATTTTAAAAAAAACGTCACTATTCTGGGTATGGGTACGGAGATGGTACGTGTTTATTGAAAACGTTTGATGGAAGTACAACATATGGATTATGAAAATAAACCATTCAAGATTAATGAATATCATTTCTATCAATATTATTTTTGAGATTCGAATTTAGATTAATTAGATACAAATAGCATGAAATATATGTTAAGCATATGATATAATGAATGGTACGTGACTCAAATCTTTAGAGCCGTATATATGCTTCCAAGTTCCATAACTCCATTGATCACCTAAAGTATTATGCTTTGTTCTTCTCGTACGTAAGGCATGGTGTCCTTTTAAGTATTTAAGCAGTGCATGAAAATACCCAAACTCAAAGCAAAAGTATCAAACCAGCTGTTAATCCTCCCTCCCTTTCAGAAAGTAACACAGAATCGCCCCTCTATAAAAGAATACTAACCATCAAGTGAAACATTAAAATTCTTGCATTAACCCACCCTCCCTATATCTCCTTCTTTCCTTCTCATATACGGACTCTGCAATCTCCTTTCACTTGTTTTCCTCTTCTACTTTTTCAGTCGTCCATGTTCTAGGGAAATAAAACCATGGGCGCCGGTAATAGTTGTTGTCTGTCGTTAAAAGCCTTGTTTGGAACACTTGTAGTTTTGGGGTTCTTCTTAGTTGGGACCCTGCAAAGTGAAGGGAACGAAACAACGAGAAAGACCACGTTAAGGATTGCCGATGATGATGACGAGTCATGGTCGTGGAAGGGAAAGGTGCTGCTACAGAAGGAAGAGCAAGTGAAGGACTTAGGCAAAGGAAAGTCGAGTTTGGTGCACCGACGGATGGATCTCAACTACATGAGCAAAAGAAGAGTTCCTAATGGACCAGATCCTATTCATAATAGGTCCGCTTCTACTATATTTTTAGCTATCTGGGCAACATATATTTATCAATTTATTTTTGTTCTGGTTAGGGGTGTTCAAAATTATCCGACCCGATTGACCCTACCCGCCGACCCGGATCTAAAAAAATCGGGTAATTCTCTAAAAAAAATTACCCGGCCGGGTCGGGTACCCGGCCCGACATTTCCCGGGTCGGGCCCGGGTCACAAAATCTAGTTTTTCCGGGTACCCGATTACGTGAGTACCCGGTTAGTTTTTATATTTTTTATATATAATTATATTAAATATAATGAATTATTTCGAACTTTTAAATTTTATGTTCGGATATTAGAGTATGTAATTCGAAGTTTCGAATATTTAAATTTGTGTATATATTTTTTTAAATTAATAATTTGAAAATAAAAAAATTAAAAACCGGGTATCGGGTACCCGATTACCGAGTACCCGCAAAATTCGGGTACCTGATTACCGGGTAACCGTAACATCTGGGTCGGGACACGGGCCGAGAAATCGTCGACCCGAAAGTTCTGGATACCCGGATTTGCACACCCCTAGTTCTGGTCACTTTTGTTTTTTTCCCTTGACCATTAATTCTCGTAGCTTGTCGAAGTGACATATTAGTGAAAATAATTAAATTTTACTTTAATCTTTGAATTTTAGGCGGAATATTAATTTAATTTTAAACTTTAAACAAAATACTAATTTAATCCCTAGGTTTTAAATAAAATATTATTGAGGCCAAACTAATAATTTATCTAAAATTTAGAGGTTAAATTAATATTTTATCTAAAACTTAAGATCAAATTGGTATTTTGCCTAAAATTCAAGGTTAAGTTAAAATTTAATCATTTTACTAGCATGTCACGTCATCAAACTAACAAAAATTAATAGTCCATGGATCAAATTAAGAGAAATTGAAAACAGAAGTACTAGAAGGTAATTATTTTAAAACCGATGACCAAAAGAAAATAGGCCGAAAAAGGGATCACTAGTGTAGTCTTTTTCTTTTTCGAAAGTTTGCAGTTACAAAGCAAAGCAAATTGCAGTTAATTAATCTCTTTTCTTTTCTCTTCGTTTCCCTTTTAAACAGGCGAGCTGGCAACTCGAGACGACCGCCGGGACAAGGTTAGGCATCAAAGTATGACCGCCGGAAGCTTCGAATCAGCCGAAGTACTAAAAGACGATGACCACAAAACCAGCATGTCTGGCATATATTGTGCATGTAATATTTTGGAGGTGGGACTATGAATATTTGAAATATTTCGATTATCCATTTAAGCCTGCATGCATGTAGCTGTTCTGAAAATTTTAATTTATTTTATATATTTTAAATATTTTCTTTATAGTTTATATTGATAATTCGTGTTATCTTAAAATTTTATAAATTCGTTCACTCCTAAAATATAATTATAAAGTCGCTCCTAATATAGAATCTTATATCCATCCCTATAAAACATATTCGTCAAAAAATCTAGTAGAGAAAGATATCAAGCATCTAGCTACCCTTTTGTATGTTGAAAGAAAAAAGACATTTTATTAATTAATTGGTAGTTAAATATGAATCCTTAAATTAACAAACAAATACATAGAACACAAACATGTAGGATTAAGGAACAATATTTTGGTGGAAATTGTGAGTGGAGGCATGAGTTGATTTACTATATTTTCTTTTATAAGTAAGTTTATTAGGAAGATATTCTTCTAACTCGGTTTAATTTATTAATAATATTAATATTTGAATCTCAATGTTATTTAAGAGTTTTAGACTTTATTTGATTGAATAGAGAATTAGAGGAATAGAAGAAAGGAGTGAAAAAATAGAAAGAAAATAAAATTTGAGAGTATGATCTATAAAGAAACAAAAGGGAAGACAATGAAAATGGAAGCTATGAGTCAGTAAGCTTTATTTTGGATCCATTAAAACTTGCAGACATGCATGCGATTCTTATATCCCGTGGCAGTCAAATGCACATAAGAAATGGAGAAAAGGAATGGAATTAATAAAAGGGTAAAGTACATAAATGATCTCTTGATCATAGGATATTGTCTTGTAGAGTCTCTCGATTATTAAAAGTTACAAAATGATCTTCTGATTAGAGGGATTTGTTTTGTTGAGTCTCTCGACTATTAAAAGATACAACATGGTCACCCGAATATTCATTAAATTTTAAACTTGTCATTTTTCGTTAAAAAATAATGACAGTTTGAGTTAGACGTTAACTTGTTGACTGAGATATGATAAAATCCAATCTCATAATCTCAAATAACTATCACATCTCAGTCAACATGTTAACATCCAACTCAGACGACCGTTATTTTTTTAACGAAAAAGAACAAGTTTGGAACATAATTAATAGTAGGTGACCATTTTGTAATTTTTAATAGTCAAATGACTCAATATAACATTATCCTATAGTCAGGGGACCATTTGCGTACTTTACCCTTAATAAAAATATAAATAATTACCATATTCTCCCAAAGGAAAATCAAAAGAGCGCTGCACTCACTCTCTACGTATATTTAGCTCTTTATTTTATTATTCCGTCCGTGTGGTTCGGTGTTTATGTTGAGAAGAGGCAAAAGCAAAGAAGTGAAGCAAGATGGATTCAAATTTGATTTATTACTAAAAGGGGAAAAGCAAAAGGAGTGCCAGTAGATTAACCAAATTAAACATTGTAAGCCTTGAGGGCTGAGGCTGACATGCCATGTTTGAAGCAATGCATAGATAGTCGATGTTAGAATTGACATTAACTAACCAGTAGATGTGAAGGGAAACCACAGTGGCATTCAGTTTTTAATGTAGAATTTGAAGATCATGGGATTTCGTGTGTTTAGAACTTGCTCACTTGTATGACTAAGTGTATTGCTATATCATGGTTTTTCTCAAAGATTTTTCCCTCTTTTCAGGTATGGTTTTTATGATGAATGCTTGAGAAAATATGGAAATGCCAATGTGTGGAACCATTTGACTGACTTGTTTCATTATTTACCTCTTACAGCTCTTCGTATAGTAGCTTGTTTAAGATGAATACAACCAAAAGTTCATGATCCTTTTACAGCCTTACAATTCTGACATCACAGATCTTTTGTATGCATGGATGGAGGGCTTTCACCGTCTTTGGACACTGTCATAACCATTTTTTTGGGTAAAACAATTAAATATTATTTTAAAAACAGTTATGACTTTTATTTGAAAAATTGGTGATTTTGGATTGATTTGAATTAAATTGAAAATGGAGTCGCCATCGACCTTTGGGTTAGGTAGGTCAAATACCTAAAAACGTCTTTTAACAATTTTAAGAAAAATCATTTTTTAAGACAAAATTTAGTCTGCGTCACCAAAGATTCGATTAAATGAATTCGGGAGTCGGTTACGTGTGGGGAAGGAATAACACCCCACAACGCCCAAAAACTGGTACTGTGTCGCTTACACCTTGTTGTAAATGGTGGAATTTATGAGTCAAATATAAAGTTAAAATGTGATCCGTTTATTGAACATTGATTAATTCACTTCTAACTAATTAATTATAGAAAATTCTTTAACCCGATAAGAAATCTCGAAATTAGTAATCCTCCATCGAGAAAGCTAACTCGACTATTTCTTATCAGTAAAAGAATATTCCATCCACATTGATTAAAAAAAAATTGAATCGAATGTAAATTAACTATCGACCTCTACATAAATTAAATTATCCTATAAAAACACATTGAATCATAAGAGATTTAATCAGTAAAATAATTAAATTTATTTCAAGTCTTATTTCGTTTGAACGTTGTATCGGATTGTACCACTTCGGTCAAGTGATACTCTCCACACCCGTTCTACAAATACATTCTTGAAATATTCGGATAACATTAATACTTAAGGAAATGGAAATAAATATGATTAAAAAAATGCACAATAAAATATTTACAACAAATAAAGTTAGGCATATTTATTTACATTTGATACAAATGACTACATAACACAAAATATGTACATACAGATTGAAATAAATACAAATGAATGTTACAACCCAAAATATAATGGTCAAAAAGTAAGTATTTAATAATTACAATGACTAACATGGTAATAACAAATTAAAGGGCTAAAACAGCAAAATAGAAAATTAAAAGACTAAAATGGCAAAAACAGAAACGTAGGGACTAAAATAGTAATTAAACCGAATGCAAACTAGTGACTAAAATAAACAGATTTACAAATCTTAGAGTCAAATTCGAACATCAGCCAAAATGTACAACATACAAAATCAGTGACTAAAATGAAACTAATACAAACATTGTGGCCAAAGTCAAATATCCACAAAAATAACATAACATACATTAATAGGACTAAAATAGAAATACATAAACATAATGGACTAAATTAGTAAAAGCAGAAACTAACAGGGCTAAAAAGTAATTACAAAATAAATAGGGCCCAAATCACAAACAACAACTAATACAAACATCAGAAATGTGAATAAGCCATAAATAATACTTAGGACTAGATTGAAATTAAAACAGAAACATGAAGGCTGAATAATTTTTAAACCAAAAAAAAAGTAAAATAAGGACTAAAATAAAAGATTTATAAATGTGGTGGCCATATTCGAATATCAAAGAAACATACATGAAATATTAAATTAGTGACTAAAATAAAATATTTACAAGTATAATGCCCAAATTCTAATCATAACAAAATTATCATAACATGCAATAATAGGACTAAAATATAAGTTCTAAAAATAAAGGCTCGAAATCGAAATACAATAAATCTCATTTAATGACTAAATAATGCGGTTACAAAGGATCAGGGACCAAAAGTGTGGTTTACCCCTTTTAATATAAGAAACACGGGTAAGATGTTACAAAGATGCGAGGACCAAATAGGCTATTTACCCTTTCATGCTGAAACACGTATACCTTGAACCCCTAAAATGGCGTCATTTTGGTTCAATTATATATGTATTTTTTAAAGGCTAAAACGGGCTAAGCTTCTCATTTTCTCGGCTAGAGAATCAGAGGGAGGAGAGAGGGATTTTTAAACTCTCTCAACTCCCTCATCGGGGAGAAGAAGAGTCTCCGCCGCCGGTGATGCCTCACGGCGGTGCGCGGCGGCCCACGGTGGCCAGAGCGGGCCAAAGACCCCCAAAATCATCCTCTCATCTCCCTAAACTCAGAACCTCACCCCGTCTCACCTAGAATCTACCCTAGCCCACTAGATCTAAGGTCTTTACCTCTCGATGTCTTTGAAATCCGGCGGCTCTTGGTGTTCCCAACCGGCTTCGAACCCACGGTGAGATCTCCTCTCTCTCTATTCTTCACTTTTTGCTGTTGGTTCTCCCTTTCATTTGACTCTCTTTTTTTTCTTTTTTTTTATCTTCTCTTTTCTGGAAACCCGAATGAATCCCCCCTCTGTCTGGTTGCATGCTTGATTTATTAGGGGTTTTGAATGAAATCATGAAGCCTACGGGGTATTGGAATTGTTTCTCTGATTTGGTACGATTCAATCCCGAAAAATCGGGATTTAGAATGATATTTTAATGGGTTCACTGTTGATGGCATTTTCGGATTGATTTGGGTATTTTAAATTCAGGGTTTTGATTTGGAACTGATGGGGTTATTGTGGTTTACTGTAGATGACGGTGGGGCGACGGCGGGATGTCCGGCGGTAGCTTACGCGTGTCGAAGGAAGCTGGAAAGCCAGAGGTGGAGGCTGGAGCTAGTGATATTTAGGGTTTCAAACCCTAATTGCTTTGGGCCAGATCTTGTAAACGGGTTGGGCTAGCTTGTACTAGGCTTGGGGATTGTATCTGATGGGCTTCGGGTTTGAGCCTGCAAAAATTTGTAATATATTAATAACAATAAATAAGCATAATAATAATAATAATAATAATAATAATAATAATAATAATAATAATAATAATAATAATAATAATTACAATTAGATAGAAAAGACCCGGACAAAAACGGGTGTCTACAGCTGCCCCTCTTTGCACATTCTTGTGTTAACAAGAATAGGGCAAAGACGACAAGACATCACGTTTTTGTCTGGTTCTCTCCCTTTTAAACTTAGAAATTGGATAATGTTGGTTGTTGGGGGCGACACTGCTCATACGTGATGAAGAGTTCGGGTCGTCTAAGGGTGACATGGTTCCTATGTGATGAGGAAATCTAATCAGGGGATGACATTGCTCCTACGTGATGAAGAGTTCTTGGCCATCTAAAGGTGATAACACGGTTCCTACGTGATGAGGACGACTGGTTATCTAAGGGTGACACGGCTCCTAC